GCCTACTACGTGGTAGACTTAAAATAAATAAGTGAATGCGAGGGACAAAGCGAAGCCATGCTCCCCAACCCCCCCCCCCCCCTCCCAAAAAAAAACCTCAGTCTATTGTGAGCAGCAGATTAATGTTATTATAGCACCCAGCGAAAGCCGTGCTCTCGGTGATGAGATATTCGTTACGCTTTCAATTTACACACCCCGTCCAAACATGTTTGTCGTTTCGTCATGGCATAACAATACGGAGCAATTATTTAGTTTTACAACAACTATTTTTTTTTGGGTGCGCAGTCGATTCGCAACTTTGACTCTCGACGCCGCGGACGAATGTTGTGGCGATTGTACGCCGCGTGCGTGCGTGCGTCCCGTGCGTCTTTGTGACCGCGCATAATTATCCCGCGCGTGTCAAGGACGCGCGCGGGGCTGTTCTGAAAAGCTCGCGGAAATGACTCGTTGAATGAAAGGGAGAGAGAGGAGGAGGAGGGATGAGGAAGGGAGAGGGAGGAGGAGGCGGGAGGAGGAGGTTCCTTCTCGGTGCTAGGCTGGTCCGCACTCGGGGGTCGTCCGGGGGAGATGGTGGTTCGGTGGTGGTCCCAGTAACGTGAAATGGGGGCGCAGTCGCACCGCTTCCATCCGCACTCGGCCGTGACCGCGAGCACAAGCCAGTGCTGGATTCTCCTAGTAGCAAAAGTAGCTACATATGTAGTAGTAGCTACTACATATGTAGTAGCAGCTACTACTACATATGTAGTAGTAGCTACGGGCCCCGCACTTTCAAGGACCCCGCGCTAAATGCTTTTAAGCTGTCAATTCCGGTTCAGTAATTCTGCACTTGCTCTATTACTGTAGTACTATACCGCATTCAACTTTTATGAACGACTGGGTGTTTAAAGTTAGCGATTTGTCGTATTATCTGGCTGTATAGCAGATGAAAAAATACAATTACTATACTATGCAAGTAATATTTACGTGTGTAAAAAAATAGGGCCCCTTTATAACATATGCTAGAGGCCCCGCACTAGCTTAATACAGTACTGGCTCGACCCCGGGGCTTTCACCGCCCGGGGCGGGCTGAGTGGCTGAGTGGCCGAGTGGCTGAGTGGCCGAGTGGCTGAGTGGCTGAGTGGCTGAGTGGCAGAGTGGCTGAGTGGCTGAGTGGCAGAGTGGCTGAGTAGCCGAGTGGCCGAGTGGCTGCGTGGCCGGAGTAGCCGAGTGGCAGAGTGGCAGAGTGGCTGAGTGGTTGAGTGGCCGAGTGGCTGAGTGGTTGAGTGGCTGAGTAGCCGAGTGGCCGAGTGGCAGAGTGGCCGAGTGGCTGAGTGGCAGAGTGGCTGAGTGGCAGAGTGGCTGAGTGGCTGAGTGGCAGAGTGCCTGAGTAGCCGAGTGGCCGAGTGGCTGCGTGGCCGGAGTAGCCGAGTTGCCGAGTGGCAGAGTGGCAGAGTGGCTGAGTGGTTGAGTGGCCGAGTGGCTGAGTGGTTGAGTGGCCGGAGTGGCCGAGTGGCTGAGTGGCAGAGTGGCTGAGTGGCCGAGTGGCTGAGTGGCCGAGTGGCCGAGTGGTTGAGTGGCCGGAGTGGCTGAGTGACTGAGTGGCAGAGAGGCTGAGTGGTCGAGTGGTTGAGTGGCCGGAGTGGCCGAATGGCTGAGTGCCCGGAGTGGGCTCGGGGGTTGCTGGAGGAGACGCGGCCGGTGACGGCTGGCTTATTAGTGGGGGGGGGGGGGGGGGGGAGGGCCCCATGAGCGAGAGAGAGAGATAAAAAAAACACAAATTACGTGAATGCTGAACCTGCTCATTATAAGAGTCTAAATTTGTGCACGTGTATCCAGACTCTGGCTGTTTCGTCTCACCCAGACGTTGTTCACTCCCCCCTCCCCCCACACACTGCCGGTGATCAAAGCGCTCTCTCTCTACTTTTTGGTTCTTTCGGTAAAGTCACGTGGGTATAAAATGAAATAAATCACGACGTTTCGATTGCAACACAAGCAATCATCTCTCTCTCTCTCCGCCTCTTCCCATGCATCGTCTCGCTTCCCGAGTTTTTACCACCTTGCCCAATTCAAGAAACGCATCGACTCATGTTATACACGAGGACCTGCGGCGCCCCTCACAACCATTTACGGCCTTCGGCAAGGAAAGTCACAAAAAATAGCACACGAACGACGCATTCAAGCAAGCACCCGATGCTCCGTTTTGAAGTTTTAAAATGAAACACCTTTGAATCGTATTGTTTTGAATTAGATACTTTTATTTCTTAATTAAAATATATCATTTTACGTCTGGAAGACTTCATTGAAAACGACATTTCGTGTGAATGTTCTCTCGTCGTCAAGTAGATGGCCTTGCTGGGGGTTCTGTTCGATGTGGACTTTCACCTGGTTGGGATTGCGGGATCGAGATAAGGCGACATAGAGCTGCTGGCCGTGCGAGAAGACCGCCGTCTGCAGATCGATTCCAACGTAATCGAACGTCTGTCCCTGCGCCTCCGTCGTTCATGCAGGGGGAGAGTAGGTTTGCAGCGCCCCTTCCATGAAAAAGACGGAAAGTGCAGCGTTCATCACAGATAAAGTCGTGAGCTGATATAATAGTATTACGACTTTACCCACGCTGCTTGTTGCCGGCCGTCTGGAATTTCTGTTGTTGTTTAGGCCTTTGGACCCCTGTGCTCAGTCAGCAGTAGTGAAAGACAAAGCATATCAATGTACATCCCCCTTGCTACCGCGGGCTTCTTCTGTGCCCCACAAATGTATTCGTTCATCCCTGGGGTCACCACGTGAAGTGACTGTCTCGGTGACGGACCTGACCACTCGTGCGCTTCGGGGGTGGGGTAAGGAAGGGGGGGGGACGGTGGGGGCAGGATAAACGCTTGCCCTCAATTATGCTCGCTTGCCACCGGTGCCTCTTGATGCTGGGAATTGCGATGACAAGCGCATTGGTTTTCATAGCCCGTGGAGCGACCATATGCCCGTGGTGAGCAGCTTGTGAGTGTGGTGGCGCTCGCGAGCGGTGGCGCAGCAGTCAGGGCGCCGCTGCGCTGTGAACCCGGGGACCCGAGTTCGATTCCCTCTCACCGCCGACGTCGATGGCGAATATCCCAGGGCCTCGTGTAAGTTGATTCAGCCTCAATGGAGTAGCTGCTTCAGTGTGTTAACATCAGCATTGGGGTGACAAAGGCGGTCGGGGGTTATGCTGGCCACCTAGACTGTGCCGGCCTTAGGTGCTCGCAAATAGCACTTACCCCGACGGTCCGTTGAAGGCTATATGGGGAATATTTGCCTTTATCGATTATAGGTTATGTGTTCTGCAACGACTTGGAACATTCAGGCTGTCTTTGATCCATCCTGGATTCATGGATTTTAGCCGAGTGCATTGTATGATGACCATTGACTGATCTAGGGATAGTCGTCCCATCAGCAAGCTTCTCCTGCACACTCGGCCGCCACGGGGCCAAACAGCTGCTCTTTGGCCGGATAAACGGGGCTAAATGGGCTCGACACAAGCTAGGAGAAGCGTGGTTATGATCATGTGTAGCTGAATGGACATGCCGACGGCCAAAAATCCAGAAGTGTCAGGATCGGCCTCTGTGGAGGAGGTTTGTAAAATAGCGTTCATTGGGCGGCTGGAGACAGCCAGCCCCTGGGATCAGATGCACAGGTGGAAAAACAGAAACACCCATTTGTATACGAAACGCCCCTGAACTCACGTGTGCTCTGAATGTACGCATGTATGTATGTATGTATGTTGAACGTCTTTCGCACCATACGTAGCCATCTGTGCTAATCGCACGTCCGTCCGTCGGTCCGTCCAAATATGCAGAAGGATTAAGAGTTCCCTCTCTCCCGTGTTGCGGAGTGCAGGTTCCTGCTCGTCTTCAACTGCCTCGTCCTCTCCGTGTTCTCGACAATCCCCGGCTACCACGAGACGTCCACCCGAGGCCTTCTCATCGTGGTGCGGTGACCTCCGCTATTCGCGCCTCCCCCACTTTCTCGCTGTCGTGCCACGTAGCTGCCAGTAATCCAGCACTGCCAGAGGCAGCGTCGGTTGGTGAATCACTAACTAGTTTCATATTACTAGGTAAGGCCCACTGAGCTATTTATAGCTCGCTTTCAGAAGCGACCTGGCCACCACAAGAGATAGGTCCGTGGAAATGGATTGCAGACAAATATTCTAAACGCACGATTCAAAATGTGTAGGGAAACGCCGGAGGACCCGGAGAAAAATCCACGCAACCACGGGGAGAGAGAGAGACACGCAAACTCAGAAAATACAGCAGGCGGCATGGTCGGGATCGAACCCATCACCTCCTGTGTACTATGCGAGATATTTAAAATCTCGCCATTGTGACGCCCTATTACACAAATATAACCACGTCTTGCCGGAAGGCAATTCAGCAAAATGTGAACGATTATCATCTTGTCTCTTTATGTATGGCATCGAGTGTTGCATCCTCAAAATAATTGGCCGAAAACACCTAAATAATTATAATATGTAGCGGACCGCCACAAAGCTTAGGTGGTTGTTGGTGCCGGTTGGCCGCGTGGCCGCCTTCCCACTCATCTCAACTGCTCTGCGAGTCGTCCTCTCTCAACGAGAGTTGAGCGAACAACCGCGCACATCGCAAGCCGACCATTACCGGTGCGGTCGTGCGTCCACGGTGCGAGAACGGCTACACAGCGTGGGGCGAGGGGGGGGGTGCCGCCTCTCCCGTCCGCCTCTGTGCATCCCCCCCTCCTTCTCTCTCGTGCACGCGCGCGCAGGAGGTGGTCATGATGGCTGTGTTCAGCGTGGAATACTTTGTGCGCTTCTGGGCGGCCGGCTGCTGCTGCCGCTTCAGGGGCTGGAAAGGCCGACTCCGCTTCGCCCTGCGCCCCTTCTGCATCATCGGTGAATTTGCTCGGTCCGGCCAACGGCCTCGGTTACACACATACACACGGACAAAGATCCACCCCGCAGAGCCTTAACAGACTGTTGGGGCGAGTGCTGTTAGCGAGCACCTGCGAAGGCCCGGCACGGTACACGAGGGGGTGTGTGAGGCCAGAACTACCCCCGACCGCCTTTGTCTCCCCACTGCCGATGTTTTTTTACAAGCCGCACCATGTTCTTATTTTGAGGCTTAGTTGACCTAAGGGAGGCCCAGGACCACTTCAGATAATTGTCACTAGGTGTCCTTGGCTGTGAGTATGAATCAAACTCGGATCGCTGGGTCCTTAGTGCAGTACGCTAACCACTGCGCAACCTCTCCCCATACACAGACACGCACGAATTCATCTTAAATCGCTATCATCGTCGTCATCATCATCATCAATCACGAGCATCGTCAGCCACGATCAAATCTACTGCTGCTTGGAGGTAAGAGGAGGAGTCCTCCTGCAGCTTGTCGAGTTCCTCATTGGGCACTGGGATGAGCGAGCCACGCGGTGCCGAGGTGCCGGTGCCGTCGCGTCGGGCATCTGGATGGGTGTCGCCAGTGCGGACACCGCAACGAGGATTATCGACGCTCCGATGTTGAGATTGTCACAGTGGCACAGAGACGGACGCCACTGTGGGAGAGCCAGCATGCGAAGACGTTCCCCTGAAATGTAAACACTGGCGGAGGTCCACGCGATTGGCTCAAGACATTGATCACGAATTCCTTTTGTAAGCGAGACAGTTGTTGACAGCTCTGAATCGCGCAGCACGTTTTCCTCATTGTTTCCTCAAACTTTTCCTGATTAAAAGCAGACTAATTAAATTCACACGAACGCTAAGATAACTTATTTTTTTATTTGATGTCCTCCTTTCCCTTGACCTACTTTTCCAAACGGTATGTGCTGCGGCGGCGCATACCAATCGGTATGTGTGGCGGCGCATACCAATCGGTATGTGTGGCGGCGCATACCAATTGGAAGTTATTCGGAGTCGTGCTCGACTCAGGGTTGCCACCGCTGAGGTGCAAACTTTTAACCGGGACGTTTCTTGTACGGTAAGTTTTGTTGAACCTCTTTCGCACCGTCCGTAGACAACCGTGCTAGTCGGAGGTGGGGGGGGGGGGAAGACAACGAAATCAAACGCAAAATTATAAATATTGTGGGAAGCAGATCTCGCGGTCGTGAATGAGGAGAGAGCTGCGCGTGATGAATGAGCCGTGCTGGGTGACGCATTAATATCATCGTCGTCGTCGTCGTCATCAACAACAACAGAAGAAGCCGGGCTTTTGAAGACAATCCAGATTCCCCGCCATGGCTACCTCAAAGTGAGGATGATCCTGGGAAAGCCAGGACAGTCGGCAACCCCGATTCCACCTCTAGAACCGTTTATATAAATAACTGGGCCATGCGGAGACACCGTAAAAAAGAAACAGCGCCGGTAGGTCCGGAACAGCGCGCAAAGATGTTATGGAACAATCTCGCGCTTATGATGATGTGCCACGGCAAACTTGGTGCGCGCCGTCGTTAGAAGTGTTACTGCTTCCGTTTTTTAATGTTTTTTTTTACTTTCTCTCTTCGGGCCACGTCTCGTAACCATATCAATGAGTCGTGCGCCACGTGATCGTGATAGCTGTCGCGGTCTCGGACGCGTGGTGGGTTTTTTTCCGAGTTCTCCAGTTGCCCCCACCCCACCCCCCATCGTGCAGCTAAACTCTCGTGAACGGAATTCCGTGGCGGGTACCCTGATGGAAAGGCCACGGGACTCGGTGAGGCTCTCCTTGGTAAAAATAATTCGGGAGGCAAAACAGCGCCGGTGCGGTGCGCTCACCGCTGCGCCACCACTCCTTTCCCAGGGTAAATAACATTCGCGATCATTTTGGTGCCTTGATGGGCATGCAAATATTTGCGCAATTAATGCGCGCACAGGCGTTTTCAGCTGTTAACTTGGCAAAGCGATTTTGTTTTAAAATTCCCCTATACCGCACAATTGCACTTAATTATGCTCATTCGGTTTGCAGTGGAGCTATTTTTACATTTGCTTCATTCACTCATCGGCTTACATATTCACGGGGCATAATTTACACGCATCTCTAATTCAACAAATAGCCGAGCGAAATCAATTCGCTTACCCATCCATCCATCATCAATTTGTCGACCCGTCCGTCCGTGTGAAATCTCTCACAGTGGCCCACTCTTACGAAGGGATGCGATGTCCTCTAGAGGACGGGAACAGACGGCAAAGGTCACCCGTGAAGGACGGCGATGGGTCCGTGCGTTCATACGCATTGCATTGCGTCTGTAGCTTTTCCATATCCACATGCTGATGAAGAGAGTTTTCAATCGGTGCGCGATTCCCGCTTTGACGCGTGGACAGAAATCACAGACACTGACAAATGAAAAGAAACAAAGGCTGAAAAGTGCGCACGAGTAGCGTGGGGATAAGCGTGCTCAGAATTTCACCGAGAAAGAAAGGCAGATAGGTAGACTAGGGAACAAATGCAGATCAGAGACGTCATAATCTTGGCTTAAGACTTAGCGGGCTTGGGCAGGACACATAGCTTCATAACACGTAGCTTCTGTGGCCGTTTGGAACGCTCTTCATTCTGATTTTAGGAAGCCACTGGAGCTATGCGCTATTAAATCTGAATTGAAAACTAACTTTTAAAATCTGCTTTTTGTGTTAAGTTTGTTGTCCTTTCCCCCGCACCTCCGCTTAGCACGGTTGGCTACGTACGGTGCAAAAAAAAAGTTCAACGTACATAGCTTCAAGGACTGATGGGCGATGGCTGAGAATGGCAGCCCAGTGTGATCTTGGTTGGCACGATCGCCGCGAACGTGCGGAGCAGTGGCGGTGAATTAACGGGCAGGAATGAGGGATTGCAGCGGCACGGGCAAATGAGGACGATGACGATGATACGTGGCCCCTGACAGCATGTTAAAGCAATGCCAAACGTACGGCCAGCTGTCAGCTCTGCGGGATAATGGAGGGAACGTTTGCTCCAGGTATAGAACAAACAAAAAAAAGGGCATGGGGGATACGGAGCGCCCGTGAATTAGGTTACGGAAAACGTGCGACGTTTACTGACAATGAACGAGGGTAAACACGTAGGGGGTTTGTCCATTTTACTCGCCAACAAGCGCGCGGTCACCAGGGTCACGCGGTCACCAGGGTCACGCGGTCACCAGGGTCACGCGGTCACCACTGTCACCGCGTGACCCTTCGCGAGCGACGAGCAGCCAAGTGGTGAAACGCGTGCGTGCGTCGGGCGACTTCACCTCATTTAATTTTCGTTTACGCGAGCACGGTCGATCTGCAAAGCCACTGACAGTCGCCGGTCGCGAGTTTAACCCTGCGCGTGGGTCTGCGCGTGCTCGCGTCTCTGTGTGTCGTGCGGGGGGCGGGCTCGTTGGACGACAGACAGCATCGTGCTGGTGGCCTCGCTGGCCGTGATCGCGGCCGGCACGCAGGGCAACGTCCTCGCCACGTCGGCGATGCGGGGCCTGCGCTTCCTGCAGATCCTGCGCATGGTGCGCATGGACCGCCGCGGATGGACCTGGCAGCTGCTGCGCTCCGTCGTCTTCGAGCACAGCAAGGTGTGGGGGGGGGGGGGGGGGGTGGGGGGGGCGGAGTGGAGGGGGTGGTGGTGGCATGGAGAGGGGGGCACTAGGGGGAGGTGGGGGGCTAACCTTGTAGCCGACGCGGGCAAGAAACGTGGACTGCCAATTGGGGCGGCCGGTGTGGATAGCGAACAGAAAAGCCAATGGGGGCAGCCAACGGAGTAGCTTTGTAATGCCACTCTGACACAGTCGACAGGGCCTTTGGGTCTCTATGCGAGTGGTCGTACGGTTCTTTGTTGTCAGTCTATGGGTCGATATGTGATGCACCATTGCCATTGTGAATCCACCAGCACGTGTCACCCGAGATTGTAAAACCCGAGGCGGGTCTCCTGGCGTCTTCAGACTGGAGCCATGAATTGGCACTGCATTCGGTCTCTCATGCTATCCTAACTGGGGCGCTGCGGTGGCGAGATGTTAACTCTACCTAGCCTGGCATGCAGGAGGTCGTGGGTTTGATCCAGACTCCAATGCCTGCTGCTGTATATTTGGAGCTCGCATGTTCTCCCGCGTGTCGATTTTTCTCCGGGTCCTCCGTTTTTTTCCCTCCACATTAAAAAACGTGCGTTTACATTATTTGACCGCTATAAATTTCCACGTAATAAACCACTTATTTCGATTGAAAGCTTTCGTGACTGCAAGGATTCATCTTCTTGGTTCTTTTGGTAAAATTTCGATTTAAAGTCACGTAGAATGAGAATAAAACAATAAAACAAAATATGACAATAAAATTCTCACGACGTTTCGGCTACAACACAAGTAGTCTTCACCTGAAGAAGGCTATTTTGTTTTATTGTTTTATTCTCATTCTACGTGACTTTACCGAAAGAACCAAGAAGATGAAACCACTTATTCTTTATTCTATCTACGTGACTTTACCAAAAGACTCAATAATATAACTTCCTGCAGTAACGAAAGCTTTAAGTCAAGAATAAGCCTACTTACTTGAGCTTCTAAAAAAGAGCTACATAGCTCAGTGGAAATTATCTGGTAAAATAAAAAGAAATAGTTTGAGTTTATAGTTTTAATTTTTGGGTCAACAGTTTTCTGGAGATTCACCAACCAATTTTAAATACTCATTGTTTTTTTCGGTAAAGTCACGTATGTAGAAATACCATAAAATTATATCAAAATAAATCAATCACGACGTTTCGACCGCAACACAAGCGATCTTCATCAGGTGTAAAAAACAAATAGCGAGGGAGCACATAGGGTGACATCAACGCAACACATAGAGAGCGTTAAACTGCACGGAGGTAAATACAACAAGAAGATGAGAGACGAGAATTCAACAAACCTAAGAAAAAATTACGTGATGCAAAACCAGTCGGCCAACAACACAGTTAGACACTTGCCTGGCGGACCACGAATTTCAAAGAGTGCTAAATTTCGTGTTCATCCTCTGGGTTGAACATACCAGCATAGACAGAGTGAACAAATACGAGGTACAAGGCAGCAGAAATACAAATACAGGGACACCAAGAGGCAAGGAGGGAGGAAAGACGGACAGAGAAGCAAGAAAAAGGGCCGGAGGATGAACAGACAGAGGCTTAAAATAAGCAGCAGAAGAGGGGGGGGGGGGGGCAGAAGAAAGCAAGGGGCACAATAAGTTGAGGACAGAATTGTAAAGGCAAGTGTCTAACTGTGTTGTTGGCCGACTGGTTTTGCATCACGTAATTTTTTCTTAGGTTTGTTGAATTCTCGTCTCTCATCTTCTTGTTGTATTTACCTCCGTGCAGTTTAACGCTCTCTATGTGTTGCGTTGATGTCACCCTGTGTGCTCCCTCGCTATTTGTTTTTTTTTACACCTGATGAAGATCGCTTTTGTTGCGGTCGAAACGTCGTGATTGACTTATTTTAAAATAATTTTATGGTATTTCTACATACGTGACTTTACCGAAAAAAACAATGAGTAATTTATGCAGTCACGAAAGCTTTAATTCTTTATCAATTTTAATTAGTTTATCCTGAGAGAAATGCAACGAATGCATTAATCATGTAACATCTCATCAAAGGTGCTGTAGCAGCGTAACTATCATTATACAGTCAGGAACGTTTCAACACATCTCCGGTGAACTTTTCAAAACTTTAAAAAGAGAATAATTTAGGGCTGATTTTTTCAAATTGCTGTCATGAGAACGATGATGGCACCTGCACCGTAAGCATTATCACCCTCACAGTTTGCCCGCATACCGAGTTTAAATTACACCGAAGGGAATTTCAATTTAGATGTAAATTTTCTCCTAATCACCGTCATTTTCGAGAGCCTTCATGTACACACGAGCGGAGTTAATAAACGCACCCATGCACCCACGGATGCACTTCAAATAAAAAAACAATCCTTCCCTTTTTAGCAGGAGCGTCAGCAAAGTGAGCAAATTTAAAGTGTAATTAGGGCCCTCTCTTTAATTATTTTATTATTATTTCTTGCCCCATTCAAAGAGCTGCGCCCGAGGACGTAACGCACACTCCAAACATTTTTTGTAAACATTTAAGAGGACGTCACCGGCCGCGTCTCTTCGCGACAACGCCGTGACGGCGTTTATTTATTCGCGGCGGTCCGTGCGTCGGAGTGAAGCGATCTTCTTTTAATTGGAAAACACTCGGAGGGCATTTTTTTCCGCCCGTGCAACGTGCACTGCAGAGCCCTCGGCGATCGCGTTTGATCTCCGCACGCGACACTTGCTTTGACTTCGTTTCCATGAAAAGCGTGCCCATGAAAATGTAATAATCCATTACGATTAAAGATTCATAATTTGACAGCAGTTTGAGGATAGGGTTGATAAAAAAAATAACATCATCAACATCATCAGCCGTGGGTTATTCCACCGCTGGATGATTGCTTGCCGAAGCTGCCACCACCACCACCCCTTACAATCTCAGCACCTGCGCACGAACTGATTTCATCGCTCCATCTCCTCGGTGGACGTACATGAAGTCGTGGGTTCGATCCCGACCCTGGCGCCTGCTGTATATTTGGAGTTTGCATGTTCTCGCTCTCTCTCTCCCCGTGATCGCGTGGATTTTTCTCCATTCCCTCCGGTTTTTTCCCTCCATATTTAAAATCCATGTGTGTTCAGAGTATTCGGCTTCTATACATTTTCCACATTATAAGCCGCTTCATTTGGGGCTACCATTTGTGGCCAGGTCGCTTCTAAAGAAGAGCTATATAGCTCAGTGGGCCGTACCTGGTAAAATAAAATTATAACCAGGCTAATTCTGAGCCGTGCCACACTGGGCTGGCCCTGGCACGGCTCGGATGTGCCGGTGGAATGGAAAAAAAAGCAAGCGGTCAGGTTGCCAACGTGCCACGATGTGCGGATTCTCTTCCGGCTTCGGCCTCCAGGAGCTCATCACGGCCTGGTACATCGGCTTCCTCACGCTCATCTTCTCGTCGTTCCTCGTCTACCTGGCGGAGAAGGACGACAACCAGGACCAGTTTGGGACATACGCCGACTCGCTGTGGTGGGGCACGGTACGTGGTGGTGGTGGTAGTGGTGGTGGTGGTCGTGGTGATGGTGCAAGTGAGGCGACACGTGCTGGACCAGGGGGTGGAGGAGGGGGGCGGGAGGCGCATGGGTAGATGTTCTCCAAAAGCAAAACATGTTAAGAAAAATCAATTTTCAATTAAGAGGACTAGTTACAGTGTAATTGTTTTGTTGAGTTAGAGATTAAAAGGTGATGAATGCCCTGATTTAATGCACACGCCACTGCCGTTAATTTGGGAAGATCTGAAACGGGCCTGTAGATAATTGTGCGCGCGCGCGTGTGTGTGTGTTTTGTCCAATTAATTTACTTGCAATCGTTACGTAGAATGAATGCCTTGCAGCCCTTTGTCAATCTCACTGCCTGGATGAAGGCCTTGCCGAACTAAGTCCGTCTTGGGGGCCGTTTGCTGGACTCCACTTAACCACGCTGGTTAGTGCGGCTTGATCAAAGTCAGGGTGAGAACAAAACCAGTTCAAATACAACTCGCCACTGATGTTGGCCGTGGCCTGGAGTCAAACACATGCAGTTTTACGCGTGCGGGTGATTTGCTCATACCTCGCCTGCTGTGGCCAGTGCGGGTTTGGCGAAGGGGGAGGATGCCAAAAAGGCCCTTGGGATGTCACTCGCCGGTGATGTTTGCCGTGGTGGTGAAGAGAGCCAAAGGTCACCGGGTACAAGAGCGCGATGCATTAGCCGCCGCACCACAGCCGCGCAATCACGCATAGCCATACCGACGAGCGTAATAATAAAATGTCTTGCATTATTGTTGCAATTACTATGGAAATTATTTATCTTGAGAGCTGAGAGGGTCATTTAGTTTCTACATTTCCCCCCACATTCGCACGTAAGCTGTATTTATCAGTTTAGGACGTGCACACGCATGGGTGGGTGGGGGAATGGTGGCACAGTGCACACGACCGAGAGCCCTGTGATGGTGGCCTTCATCCAGCAGCGGATCGACGCAGGGGCTGTGCATCACTTTAATTTATAATTGTCGCCACGTGCGCACGTCAGCGAGACAATTCGGCATGAGGAAAGATAAAGGGGCAGCCCGACAATGCGTCGCCCGCTGCCCTCCATGGACGGAGAGCGCCTCCACGAGGTGGATATCTCGAGCGCCGCTCTCGATGGTGGTCCGGTTTCCACGCCGGCCGGACGTCTCGGACGATGGCAGTAGTCTTCACGCTCCACTGGACGTGACCTGTATGTACGTGTGATGTTGAGAACTTCTTCCGCACCGTACGTAGCCAAACGTGCTCATCGGAGGTGCGGGGAAGGACTACGAACTAGGCACAACAAGAAGCCGTTCTAAAGAAATGAGTTCTCAATCTAGATGACTTAAAAGTGCATAGCTCAAGCGGATTCCTGATATCGGAAGGGAGAGCCTTCCAGACGGCCGCGGAAGCGCATCCGAACGCGCGTGATGTGGCAAAAACCCTCATTGTTCGATGACTATCCAAATGCTGCTGCTGCTGCCGCGTTACGGTTCATAACCTGTCTATCAACCGGCGACGGTGTGCCTATTTATTCTCTTGCGCCAGGCCTACGCGAATCTTGCTGGCCCGTTAGGTCTCATCGTAAGCTGCAGAGGGTCGCTTTGAATCCTTTTGCGTCAATTGCGATTGTGCACCGACAGCCGCAGCCCGAAGAGGAAGTCGTCGAAGCTAAACCGCTTGCCCCCCTCGCGCAGATCACGCTCACCACCATCGGCTACGGAGACAAGACTCCAAAGACGTGGCTCGGCCGCCTGCTTGCCGCCGGCTTCGCCCTCCTCGGTGTCTCCTTCTTCTCGCTGCCGGCCGTGAGCATCGATCGGATCCGTCTGTGTAACGGGACGAGCACCCCCCCCCACCCCCACCCTGCACCCCCACCCTGCCCCCCCCCCACCCTGACCCCCCCCCCCACCCCACCAATGTGTTTTCGCGTTGTGCCGCGTGTACCGTTCAGCGACTAGCTTTCTCCGCCAATTACCGAGGGAGAAACGAGCATCAGAAAACGTCGGGCATTGTGCCGAACGACGCGCAGTGCAGCACGGCGGAGAGCAGTGCAGCAGCACGACCGCGAAAACCTACGCAGTAAAATAATAATAACAACAAATAATAATTGACGTGGACAACGCGGGCAAGGGAGTGCCGTTGACGCGTGTGTTCACCACTACTGCTCGTGTCGCACAGGGCATCCTGGGGTCGGGCTTTGCCCTCAAGGTCCAGGAGCAGCACCGACAGAAGCACTTCGAGAAGCGACGCTGCCCCGCTGCACGACTCATGCAGGTGCCCGCCACCACCCAGCGCTCGTGAATTATACACCACATTGCTCGGCACTCACAACATTTCCACTGGTAAGAGCTCTTTAAATCCCAACTGCCCAGCTCATGAAATCCCAGCTACCCAGTGCTCTTGAAATCCCAACTATGCAGCTCATGAAACCTCAGCTGCCCAGTGCTCTATAAATCCCAACTGTCCAGCTCATGAAACGTCAACTACCCAGTGATCTTTAAATGCCAACTACCCAGTTCACAAAACCTCAAATTCCCAGTGATCGTAAAATCCCAACTGCACAGCTCATGAAAACTCAGCTACCCAGTGATCTTGAAATCCCAACTACCCACCTCATTAAATCCCAACTACCCAACTCATAAAATCCAAACTACCCAGTGGTGTTGGAATCCCAACTACCCAGTGCTCTTGAAATTCCCATCACTCAGTGGCAGTAAATTGTGAAATAATGATACATGGCTGTTGGGGTGGGCAAGTTTCAAATAAACATCAGTGAGAACTCAAAACACTGGGCTGAGTCTCATTTGCATTAGTGATCTGGGTCAACGAATTGACAAAAGCTAAATAAATACGACAATGTACAGCAATGAAGCAAACATGAATCAGGGCAAAGCGACAGGTGTAGCGGTCACTGCCACAGCGCTGCCGTCTCTGTGACTGATGTGAGATTGCTTTGCGTTGGCGTGACACCTTGGACGGGGTCACGGAGAGTGAATATTGCACAGCAGACTGCAGGGTTCCACGGAGCTCATAGGAGTGCTGCTTGACTCCGTAACTACACATATAACATTTACCGAGTGCTGGGGTTTTCATTTTCAATAGGTGCCCAAACAACATATTGAGAAATAATATGAAAGGGGAAAGGTTTGGGGGCATTGCCACTTGTTTGAAAATTGCTGTTGGGCATCTGGCTGGACATCAGGATGCGCTTTGAAAATGCTGCCACCAACCTCAAGTAAAGGATGTTTGTTAGTCAAACATTTGCTGATCTTCTCTCCCATCTTCTCATCCCTGATTAAATATTTCCATTGCTCAGCTGTTATACCTTAACATGTTCCATAGCAAATATACGCACTGGCTATTTTGGACATCGACTTTGTGTAAATGCATCTGCTTAGGTGCCCTCTCTGGGGGAGCCAGCAGGGTCACGTTCATTACCGACAAAAAAAAACACGAGCGATGGATGTGTGGACCGATAGATGGTGAAATAAACACTTACATTAGCAAATAAATAATACATTTCCATTGCCTCTATGGGACCAGTGGTACCAGATTGGCTGCTGTATAACCAAGGTTGTCTGTATAGACACCACCCAGTGTCAATGTTTGCGCAGGGAGCCTCAAATTTATGGAAGAAATTCAATACATTTTTGAGAAATGCTGTTTCAGTAAGTGGAATGCTTTCCCGCTTGTCATGTTGTAGTTTTTTTAATTAACATTTTTCACCTGGATATGCCATTTGTACGGGTGTCCAGCCTCTTTATTGACACGTACATAACAACAACAACAACCGCCATTCGCCACTAAGTGGCGGTGACGTCACCACGACGCTTGTGCCAGGCTATGTGCACCCTGAGGCCACGTGAAGTGTCGAACGCCCGCTGGCAGGAGGTCACGGGGCAGACCCAGGTGCCACGGGTCGACTGACTGAGATGACTGGCTGATGCACCACCTGTGCCCCCTACTGTGCCAACCTGCTGTGCTTTAGCCACCCGGCGCTCCGCTCGCTGTTGTGAGCGTCGCTCCTCCGCCCTCCGTTGTTGTTGGAGGGCGACTGCCTCCAACTGCCCAGTAGCATCCTTCACGAGCCTCCTCCACAGAGGCCGATCTTGACACCGCTGGTACCAGTCATCGGCAAGTCCACTCAGCTCCACGTCCTCCTGTACCACATCACTCCATCTCTTCTCTAGCCCGTGCCGCGCCCGCTTAGCCCCCTCAATCCGGCCAAACAAAAGCTGTTTCGGCATGCGGTGGCTGGGCATGCGGGCTACATGACCCAGCCATCGCAGCCTTGCCTGCCGGAGGAGCTCACCGATGGGACCCTGCCCAGATCTTTCAAGGATTTGTGAGCTCCTCACACAATCCAGTCTGGTTAAACCCAGGATGGATCGTAGGCAGGCCAGCCTAAATGCAGATGCATTTACACATAACACACACGGAATGACGCGTACACACACACACACATTCAACAATGTACGTATGTATGTTGAGCTTCTTTCGCACCGTTCGTAGCCAACCGTGCTAATCGGAGGTGCGGGGGAAGGACAACAAACTAAACACAAAAAGCACTTCTAAAGAAAATATTTTTCAATCTAGATTTTTGTTTAAATGCCACGTACACACACACAATCAACAATCAGGAGGATGATAGGTAATGTCTGATGACAGAAGCACAATACAAATTCCATCTTGGAGACCATGTCGTGACCGCAAGTCTCCGAGTCAAACTAAATACATTGTACAGTAGTATTGTGGTGAGCACACTGCGCTATGAGTTAAACAAACACATTCTAAATACTGTGCTGTCATATGTGTTTAACTGGAACTACAGAGGGGATGAAAAAGGACGATGGCTTTGAGTGATCTCTCTGGCCATGTAAGATCACGAAGTTTAGCGGTAGGACGTGAGTTTCATACAAAAATGTGATGCTGTCGAGTTAGTAGATTTCGAGTGATGGTGAGGTGGAGAGTGAAGCCTATCTGGTCGAAATGTTATTGTTAGGTAGTTCACTGAAGGTCCTGTATGGTGACGAGCTTCCGTGCAGGAATTTAAATTGAGTAAGTCTTTGGGTGGAATATATTATCATTCCGGAGGATGTGGTTTCTTGATATGTCTGACCAATGTTGGTCGGAGAGTGGTTTGATGGGCAAATCTTTTTTTTTTCCCACAGGGAGAACATCTGTGGCATTACTAGGGTAATGCGTGCCGGCAGAAGGGTCACATTGTAGAGAGTGTGCGATGGGACAATAGTCGGATTTCCAGGTTCATCATCATCATCGGCCATGATCAATCCACTGCTGGATGAAGGCATACCCAAGTTGTCGCCATCTCTCATGTCCCACCGATGTAACAATCTACCTCGAACCTGCACAGGAGCTGATCTCACCACTCCATCTATGTGGCGGACGTCCTCCCTGTTTGTGTTCCGTTGCCTACGACGATTGTTCATCACGTGTCAATCACATTTAAGGTTATTGCAAATGTAAACATCAGAGCTGGAATTTGCTAAATTAAGTGAAACATGCATTTAATGACATTTCGAGCTTCCAATCACAATTGACTGGGATGCCACCGTGGAGAAATGTTCATGTATGTTGAACTTATTTCGCACCATACGTAGCCAACTGCGCTAATCTGAGCTGACTACCTCGCCTGGTATTCAGGAGGGTACATGGGTTCGATCCCGACCGTGACGGCTATATATGGGAGTTTTATTTTTCTCCCCGTGGTCGCGTGGATTTTTCTCCACGTCCTCCGGTTTTTCCCTCCACATTTAGAGTCAACGCGCGTTTCGAGTATTTGGCTGCCATACATTTGCACGTGATAAGCCACTTCGTTGAGCTATCATTTGTGGCCAGGTCGCTTCTGAAAAATATCTATATGGCTCACTGGGCCTTACTTGGTAAAACAATACTTTTTTATAGACTGGACTGAAACCATTCACTCAAAATGTGAGAACCCAATTTTCTCAAGCGCAGCTTTGAACCCAGATTTGAGCCCCAGGGCCTCAGCAATGCCGGCTCAGCACTCGAACCCTGAAGCCTCCGGATGTTTTGGAATTAAAACTGAGATATTCATTGCATTAGCGAGAGCAAATAGCAAAGGGAGTGATTCACCCGCACTTGATCAGTCCGTTTAATATGACCACAAGCTTTAGTTAATTCGTCTCATTAGGCCCCCTTGCTTTGCCTGTCTGAACCTTAGGCATTTCCCTTGAGCGAAGGAATCTGCCCACCCAGATTGTTTCACGCCTCTGGCAAAGTTTTTGCAGCAGAATCGTTCCAACGACAACGCCGTTTTCTCGGTAGTGGCCTCCCAAACAAGGATAAATGCGGCACCAAAAAATAAATAGATTAAAATTGGAGGACAAGTGGGTCGGGGAGGCGGTGGCCGGGGTGCTCATGGGCCAGAGATCTGCGATCGACCGTCAGTTTGGTTCCAGGTCTCAGCCAACCACGTGCAGTTGAATGATTTTTTATTTGAAGCTTTTGTGACTGCAGGAATCCATACTCTTTGGTTCTTTCGGTAAAGTCACGTAGGGACAAAAAATAATAGATCACGACGTTTCGATCGCAACACAAGCGATCGTCATCAGGTGAGACAACTACAGCAAGAAAAACAAAAGTGGTTGTCTCACCTGATGACGGTTGCTTGAGTTGCGATCGAAACGTCGTGATCTATTATTTTTTCTACCTACGTGACTTTACCGAAACAAACCAAAGAGTATGGTTGAATTATTATTATACAACATTTGAACCTTATGGCGGTACCCCGGGGTCCCGAATAAACGGAAGCCAAAATCGTAATCAATCAATCAATTAATTATTTAAGCGGGCAATTAATTAATCATTTCATTCATTAATTGCTTTTTGGTGACTCCGTCCCACCGCGCACATAAACGCCGCGACCCACCTGGCGCGGATCATTCTGTTGTCGTGTCGTCCAAGCGCAGCAGCGAGGACGAATCCGTAGAAGAAACAAAACTTTTAAACTTTGATTAGCGCATCGTGTAGATCTCGTCGAGAGGAATAGATCGCCGTATCGTTCGCCTTCAACAGACATAAACTGACGTCGCAACGCAGTTTATGCGAGAGCCGGGGGCTTATGGGAGCCCAGGGTCCCGCCATCAGGTTCATTTGCAAAACGCTCGCTCCACCTCTCCGAATATTTTCTCATCGCAAAGTGGAATTTGATTCACGAAAATTCATCTTTGGGGGAGGTCGCGTATTGATCTGACCAGATGTTTTGTCGTGCAAACCCTTCCGCCACCCAACGTCGACAAAAAAAATGACAGTGTCCTCGTGTACACGCGTTTGACGCGCCGATTATTATTATTATTGCGTCGACCTCACCGGTGAGTCGACAAAACAATAGTCACAAGCAAAGTTAGCGATTAGAGACGACGTTTTGCGTGAGACTGCGTCAAGCATTCTCAGATTATCAGAAACTCAGAGTATTTATTTATATTGGAGGAATCCGGTGAGCTATGAAGCTCTTTTTTCACTGATGTCCAGGAGGGGCACGGGGTAAGACGGTTACAACAACAAACACCACACAACAACAAACACTACACAACAACAAACACCACACAACAACAAACACTACACAACAACAAACACCACACAATAACAAACACCACAACAACAAACACCACACAACAACAAACACCACACAACAACAAACACTACACAACAACAAACACCACACAACAACAAACACTACACAACAACAAACACTACACAACAACAAACACTACACAACAACGAACACTAAACAACAACAAACACCGCACAACAACAAACACTACACAACAACAAACACCACACAACAACACACACTACACAACAACAAACACTACACAGCAACAAACACTACACAACAACAAACACTACACAACAACACGATAGGAGTGCAAAGTACAAGAGAGGTAAATAAATCACACAAACACAAACAAATACAACATTAAACCATCCCCATCATACCAAACAATGCCCACTGAGATATTAACTTATTTTTCACACGTGACCTGGCCACAAATGATAGCTCAACAAAGTGTATTATCATTTGGACATTTATAGCAGCAAAATAATTTACATAGTCCACACGCACGTTTCTAAATGTGAAGGGAAAAACCGGAGGACCCGGATAAAATAAATTAACGCGGCCACAGGGAGAACGCACAAACTTCAAGTATACTACAGCAGGCGTCAGGGTCGGGACCGAACCTCCGACTTCATGCATACCACGCGAGGATGATGATGTCACAACACCGAGGATGGCCTCAACCCCCCTAAAAAACCTATTCTGAATCACGATGTTGGCTGCGGCAAAACGTTACACGTTAAGAGTAATGTTTTAGGGCCGCAGAGTGGTGGAGTCGTGACACTCGTGTCTCACAGCAAGAAGGGCCTGGGTTTAATTCCCGACTCGGGCGCCTCCTCTGGGCGACGTTTGTGCGTTCTCCCGGCGTTCTGCACGGATTTCCTCCGGGTTCTTCGTTTTCATCTCGCAGCTCAAAAGCTTAAAAAAAACCCCCGACACAATCTAACTGGTATTTTGCTAACATCCCAATGCTGCCAAATTATCTGCAGATTACTCCGCGGGCGTTCTACCGTGAGCAACATCGCCCCGGCTTTCGTGGGTCAACGAGCGCGATAATAAACGGAAATAAAATTATTTCTTGCAGTGCACGTGGCGATGCTACGCAGCCGACGTGAAGTCTCTGTCCGTGGCCACGTGGAAACCTCACCTGAAGGCTCTGCACACCTGCAGCCCCGTCAAGTACGACCACCACCACCGCCACCATCACCACCACTGCCGCCACCACCACAGCCACGACCACCACCACCACCACCGCTGCTACCACCGCCACCGCCGCCGCCACTACCACCACCACCGCCACCGCCGCCACCACCATCACCGCCACCACCACCACCACCGCTGCTACCACCGCCACCGCCGCCGCCACTACCACCACCACCGCCACCGCCGCCACCACCACCACCGCCACCACCACCGCTGCTACCACCGCCACCGCCGCCACCACCGCCACTGCCGCCAACCCTCGCCCCCCGTGAAACACATTTGCTTGTGGTCGTGCGGCCGGGGCCGGCACGCAGGGGCACGCTGGGGTGGGGGGCTACACCGCCAAACGGTACTTTGGTCCCCACCCGAGTTCACTCACCCCCAGGGGCACGGTGACTGTTGTGGTGCCCCCCCCCCCCCCCAATCGACTGCATTGCGAGAAAATGTCACCGTTTAACTGAGGCTCTGGAACGAGATGCCTCGCTGCTGGGTTCGCCGGTTGTTCCCGGTGCTGCTAACCTCCACGTGCTGGCGGCTTGCAGAAGGAACTGCTGCGTTCTGAGCAAGCTGCCAGCAACGTGGAGCGAAATGTCGGACATTGTGCCGAACAACACGCGGTGCGAACCCGAAAACCCATCGGCAGCGCTCTTCCGGAGTGGTGGGGGTGAGGGTTCTGGGGCGAATCCTGCCGCGTGGGCCCCCCCCGCCCCGACCCCTTCAGACTAAAGCGGGGAAGTATTACATCTGACACAAAACGTCGAAGCGTGGGACCCCCCAAGTTGTGGGGCCCGGGGCGGTCGCCCCCGAATCGCCGTACCCCTAGGGACGGCTCTGGCCACAAGAAAGCTTTACAACAGCAGCACAGGCGTGAAAACTTTACTCAGTGTTATGTCGTCAGGACAAAGCCTTCCCGTTCCGAGATGTCTGCAAGTTGCAGGGTGGGTGTCCCGTTCACCGATGAATCTCGGAACGCGCAAGCAGTTAGCATACATTTTTATCTAGAGAGGCGTAGCGCCGATGTTTTTTTTAAAGACATTGTACTCACCGCAGAGAACTGTAGCGACACGACCGCACTTTCTGATAGCTGGCGCCAAACTGTGCCGCTCACCCTCCCGCATGGCCGTGCGGGAAGCCTCGCTACCAATAAATCGTACGAAAAGCAACAGAGGTTGTCATCGTCGTCGCCGTCATCATCATCATCATTTCGCCTCCGTCGCTCCCCCGCAGCCACAAGCCGAGTTTCCGCGAGCGAGTTCGCCTCTCGAGCCCCCGGGGGCAGACGGGCCGGGGCAAGAGCGCGTCCCCCGCGGGCAGGGTGAGGGCCCCCGGGGTCGGCGGGGTGCGCCGCTCCCCCAGCGCCGACACAGGCCTCGAGAACAGCCCCGCGCACGTCCAGAAGAGCTGGAGCTTCAACGACCGCACGCGATTCCGCCCGTCGTTGCGTCTGCGCAGCTCCAGCTCCAGGCACTACCCCGGCGAAGGTGAGCCCAGGCAGTCGAGAAAAAAGCTAAAACTAAACTTTTTTTTTTGTTTGACAGGTAAAGGCCCACCGAGCTGTGTGGATGTTTTTCAGGAGCGACCTGGCCATCGCGGATGATACGTCAACGATAAGCGGCTTGTCATGGTGTGGGAATTTATAGCAACCAAATACTCGAAACACGCGTTGATTCTAAATGTGGAGGGGCCTGGAGACAAATGCAAGCGACCACGGGGAGAGAGACAACGCGCAAACTCCACATATACAGGCGTCAGGGTCGAGGTCGAACCCACGACCTCCTGTATACCAGGCGAGGTAGTTAACATCTCATAGTCACCGTGATGACGATGAGAGAGATATGCAAACTCCAAATATACAGCAGGCGTCAGGTTCGGGATTGAACCCACGACCTCCTGTATACCAGGCGAGGTAGTTAACATCTCATAGCCACAGTAATGTGATATGTCCTCCGCCCGCCCGCCCGCCCGCTCGCCCCGCAGCGCCCAGCGTTCATGTTTTTGTTGTTGTCCTCGCTGGGCCCAGCAACGCGGCGGTTTTGGTGACTGTGTTGAGGTTCGTTGTGTGGGCCCTACGCACCACTGCCGAAGCGGCCTTACGCGGGGACTCACACGAGAGATGCGGGGACGGGCCACGCGGCGTCGCCCCCACACTCCCACGAGGTGACAGATTGCTGAGGAGGCACCGTGCGAGCATCGGCGCCCGCGCTGTGCCGAGTGTGCTGGGAGCGTGGGGGTCAGGGGGTGATTATTGGGACGACCCCTGCTCAGAATCTCAACTTGAATCCTGGAATAGGAATCGCTTCTCCTCCCCGTCCTGCCCCCCCCCCCCCCCCCCGCATCCTCCCCCTCGTCGCTCACTCGACTCACAGTCCAGAAATCTACGACGACGTGACGAGGCATCGGAAGGTCAACAACGCCAGATCTCTACGGTATTCAGTCCAGGGCGATGGATTATAGTTCTGTAGTCGTCTTGGGGGGGAGGGGGGGTCTGAGCCCCCCCCCCCCATCCCCACTGAATGCTCAACCCCCTCTTCTAAATTATTATTTCAGTAAAATGTTAAACACCAGGGGTGGTTTCGACTCGGGTGAAAACGTGAGTAGAGCCTTTCCTCATTCACACTGCAGGCGGGGGAGGGGGGGGGGGGGTGAGAGAGCAGGAGGGAAATGCACCAGAGACGAAGGTAAGTCGTACCGGTTACTCATTCGGGTCTGGCTTTTAACATTCGTTTACGTTGACCACCATCGCCTTCCCCCCCCCATCCCCCAATTATTTGTCTCTGGGTTCTCCAGTCTCCTCTCACGCCAAGCGCCAAGCTCACATTTCGCGAAGGTGACAAATTGCGGCCGGATATTGCCCTCTCGATGCGCGCCACCCGCACGCGCCTTATCTCGGAAGCCAAGCAGGGTTCGCGAGCCTGCTTTGTTACGTGGGTGGAAGTCTTTCTCGGAAAGCCGGGCGTTGTTTGTCAGCTTGGGGCCTCAATCTGGCCAGGAAGTGGCAAGTCAGGGAAATTGATCGAATCCAATTGGGCGCAGACATCAAATGCGCTACGCAGCTCCTACTTTCTGCATCGACCCTGTGGCAGTCACGCGTTCATACGGGATCGGATCAAGCCCTAAAAAAAAGAGTCATCAGCGCTGGGGGGGGGGGGGGGGGGCAAAGGTGGCCGGGTGTGGTGCCTGGCCACCCTGAGTTTCTGCATGCCTGTGCGTCAAATGTGCGTGTCTGTGGGTCTCTCTGTCAGTCTAGGGGTCTATTTGTGAGTCAAATGAAAAAATATGAATCCTTGATTCATTCAAATTTTCACTCCCATCATGGCGTTCCGGGGCATTCCCGCCCCATTTCCACCACCACTGCCTACAACTCGCGTGCCGTGTGGGTCTTCATAGGTGCTACTCGCTTACAGCACTTGCCCCTAACGGTCTATTTAAAGGCTATACGGGGGATCTTTGTCATTGTGTACGCAGGGGGTTACGCCAGCCTGAGTGTGGACGATGCCCTCGATCAGAAGCGCTGCCACTGCGATGTGTCGGTCGAGGACCTCACGCCCGCCCTCAAGACGGTCATCAGAGCTGTCAGGTAATCTCCCCACCACCATCATCATCAGCAGCAGCAGTCATGCTCTCTCCATTGCCACGTTCAGACCTCCCCCCAGAACGTCGCCATCTCCCGCGATCCTGCGGTGTTACTGGTCCATCTCGTTCCCGCGTACGAGCTCGTCTCATTTATCGGCTCCATCTCTGCGGCGACGTTCATCCTCAGACGCCGTTCCGTCATCAGCCTCGTCCGTCGGCAACCGTTCCTTCTCGCCCAAGCCCTGACCCTGTGCACGAGTTGTTTTCTTCCCTCTATCTCCGTAGTGGACGCATGTCTGGGTGCGTTCCGTCCCCAGGCTGCCACGCTAACATTCGTCTCGACCACCGGCCGGCCAAAATTACCTTCCAGCGACGTGGCCCCTCCGTTCTGACCCCGTGCCCCTCCTGGACATCTGGGAAAAAAAGGGCTTTATAGCTCATCTGATTCCTCCAATGTAAATAAAGATTCAGATCTTGATTATTTCTCTCACTTTGATTCCAAGTGTCCGTCCACCTCTCCACGCTTCTTTGGGCACTTTTCAATTTTAGTTCAGAAATAGTAATAATTTAACAACGTCCACGTTAATAATCATAAATCAAGAGAGTGGAACGCGACATGTGCCTGTAGAAGAGCGTTTTAAATCGGGCGAGCGGCAGTTTATGGAATCGCCCAACCCCTCGCCACTGCCTCTGCCCACCCAGCAGTGTGAATGGTCGCACCATGAATCAGTCGATCGGCAGGCCGTGGCATCAGGTTTGGGTTCGCCCGTCTCTTCCCCATGCCATCAGGCCAGGGTGGAAGAGGAGGCCAAAATGTGTCCTAGAGGGAATCTCTGGCGCTCTGTAGAGCCCTCTCTAGTGGGTCGGCTCTTGTCGCCAGCAGTAGCAAGAGCAAGCAGTTTCAGGGCTGTGCCTTTACCATAAACGAATCACTAGAGGTGTGCCATGGCATCGCCACATGGGCGATGATGGTGCCCGTTCTCGAAATCCGGCTGTGGCACAGGAACTGAAATAAAAGCCAAAGGTGCAGCCCTGAAATGTATTGCTCACGCCACTGCCGGCAGAAGGGTCTCGACTAGAACGAACTCTCGCCTGTATTTGGCCTACTCTTTCACGTTGGACCAAAACGTATTTGAAAGATGTGGGAAGTTACCGACACTGTGCCCCACCACACGCGACCTGTGGACAGAGGTGGGGGGCTTTGAGAAACTTGTAAATTGTTTCAACTGCCGTGCCGGGACACTGAACCGGTGACCTCTGACCTTGCAAGTGCAGTGCGACAACCATTACCCCACGGTAGGGGTGGAAACAAACACAGACACAATCCTACCGTGACATTTTTAGGAAACGAATGGCTATGATGCTGATTATCAATCGCGTTTCTCATTCAGCAAACAAAAGACCCCTAATTTTTTCGCCCCACCTTTGGCAAATTCAGTTTGAAAATTATCTCAATCTCGTGAATATCAATGATGAATACGCTCGCGCGGATACTTCAAACTGTGAATGCTGCAAACAACGTTCATCTGCAGCCCACTATTCGCAGACACAGAATCCAGATTTTGTTATTCACTTCATATTTATTTCATATCTGCCGAATTAAATTTGGCCTGCCAGGCTTGACGTTTTTTTTTTTTTGCCGCAGGCTATTCTCCGTAGATGTGGGGCGAAGTGAAGTTCAGCATCGGGAGCAGCGTCACTCCGTCCCTCGCCATTTCCACCGGCGCTCTTGCCCCGTCAGCTCTAGATCTCGCCTCTACGCCTTGAAGAGTTCTTTGCAACTTAGTTGGAGCCGTATACATGCACACAAAGATCCACTGTGTAGGCGACATTGGCTGATCCGGAAAGAGAGCTGTTAGCCAGCGCCCTTCAGGATCAGAATATGTATTTATACGAGAGGAATCCATGAGCTATAAAGAAATTTTTTCACTGATGTCCAGTAGGTGCAGGTCAGAACGTTACAACAACAAACAACACAAAAGCAGCGCAGAGTATAGGAAAGGTAAACAAATCACTTAAAGATATATGCAAATAAAACTAAACTCTTTTTTGTTAATCTTACCCCTGAAGGCCAACACAGCTCACGAGGTGGTCATGTGGCCAGCATCACGCCCGGCCGCCTTTGTCTCCCCAGTGGCGATGTTTTTACGCATCGCACCGGGTACTCATTTGAGGCTGAATCGACCTAGGGGAGGCCCACGACCGGTTCATATAAGCGTCACATTGGTGTTGGCCGTGAACAGGAATCGAATTCGGGTCGTCGGGTTACACACACAAATACACTAACAGACAAACACAACATTGATACACAATTCTACCTGCTCCTCCTCCTCCTCCCCTTCCCGCCAGGATAATGAAGTTCCTGGTCGCGCGCAGGAAGTTCAAGGAGACGCTGTGCCCTTACGACGTGAAAGACGTCATCGAGCAGTACTCCGCGGGACACCTCGACATGCTGTGCCGCATCAAAAACCTCCAGTGCAGGTCTGGCAGCCGAAGCCGTAGCCTTGGCGCTAACCTTGCCAGCGGCCCGAGCGGCGCAGGAATATCTCTGCGATCCCACGCGAGCGCTCCTCCCTCTCCGGCCGTGCATTGATTATAATAATTTTAGCGGCGTTTGGAAATCGCCCTCTTCTTGTTGTGCGGCGGCTGTCACGGTGGCTCGTGTTTCACAGAGCGCGGTCTGCGGAAGTGCCGCGGTGAGGGCCGATTGTTGCGGTGTGTAATCCGCAATCGATTAATTTTTAGCAGGTACATTTTTAGGATTTTTCTTTTAATTTGGCAAATTTGGAGCGCGACGCCGACACACGGTGGCCTACGGTTAATCTGCCCCCCCCCCCCAACCGCGATAATAACCAGGGTGGCCTACTGGAAATCGAACCGCGACCTCTGCAACGTTGCCATCTTCTTCCGCTTCCCTCGCCCCTCAACTCTGTTCCGTCCCTCCCCTATAGCCCTTTCGTGATCGCCACACCCCTCCCCCCCCCCTCATGTGCCCTCTGTTACAGTCACTAATTCCTTTGGCCATCCCACACCCCCTGCCATATAAATCGGTATATCATTGTTACCGCTCTTAAACTGTGTAAAACACCGTAATGCGTGTTGAACTTCTTTCGCACTGTACGTAGCCACCCGCGCTAATTGGAGGTGTGCGGAAAGGGCAACAAACTAAGTGCAAAAAGCAGTCCGAAAGAAAAGAGTTTTCAATCTAGGTGATGATTTAAAAATGCATAGCTCCAGTGGCTTCCTCATGTTGAAAGGAAGAGCGTTCCAGACGGCCGCAGAAGCGCAACTGAAAGCGCGCGATACGGCGACCACCGTCTTTTGTTCAGCCAAAAAGCCGCCGCGCCTACGGCTGAGGCGCTCTATAAATAAAATATAAGATGAGACGAATAGCTAGCACTGGGCCGTGCCGCCAGCACTAATTAACACGCGTGCTATAGCCGTGCGTTAACACGTACGCTGCACTGCGCTTTGCTAACCACTTCAAGTACAAAGAACCACCCGTCCTGCACCCCCAAGTGCCCCGTGTCTCTCTTTGTCTCTGTCTCTCTTTGTCTCTGTTCTCTCCTTCGCACAGAGATTGGGTTTTATTTATCTATTGAAAATATGCCCCCTGACCAAATCGTCAGATCTCGGAAGCTTAAGCAGAGTTGAGCCTGCTGCTGCTGCCTTCACTCCTTTAAAGGAAGAATGGACGATGATCCACTCAGCTTCTGAACAGACAATTGAGTGGATAACAACATCTAAAATTGCATCTTTTAATCCGCTGTTATTAATCCATACGAAAGAAGTGGTGAGGTCGCTTCTGAAAAAGAAAGCGATATAGCTCAGTCGGCCTTACCTGGTAAAAAGTAAAAAAAATATTATTATCGCGCAACTGAATGATAAATAAATCATATACATGACTTTAACTTTGTGTTCATATTTCCCAAGACAGTTCAGCAATAGGATGATCCTGGGAATGCCAGGGCAGGTGGCAACCCCTCGCCAGGATAGGTCTTGGATGGGTGACCACCGCACTGTGGTTGCTGTAGGCTTCACGGGGCTTGCTTCAGCGGGCAGCAGAGGGCAGTACGGAAAAATGCATGGTTGTACTGTACTTCTCGTGTGCACTTCCAGCGTTGTACATGGGCGGTGAGCGTTATCTAAACCTGTTCAGCAGCCCACCCCTTCACCAGTGACGAGTGAGGTGGTGGGGTTCAGTTAAATAACCCCCACAACTCGCAATGTGCGGGGAGGCCCTCATCCAGCAGTGCATTGACAAAAGGGGGCGTTACGGTGGCGATGTTAACTACCTCGCCCGGTATGCAGGAGGTCATGAGTTCGATCCCGAACCTCACGCCTGCTGCTGTATATTTGGAGTTTTCATCTTCTCCTCTTGGTAGGGTGGATTTTTCTCCGGGTCCTCCCGTTTTTCCCTCCACATTTAGAAACTTGCCGTTGGAGTTTTTCTACTGCTTTAAATGTCCACGTGATAAGCCACTTCGTTGAGCTATCATTTGTGGCCAGGTCGCTTCTGAAAAAAAGCTATATAGCTCAGTGGACCTTACCTGGCAGTAAATAAATAAAAAGAGTTGTATTAAACGGGTTGTGCGTTATACATCGTGGCATCAAGAATATACACCGGTTGACGAATCCACGCGCCCCGTTCCACCCGCACTTTGCGGCGTTAACCGGGGGCCTGGCCGTGGAATTCCAAGGCCCTGCCTCTGGCACGGAAACCTGGTGCAGCGGCAAGTGCGTTCATCCGCCAGGCCAGGTTACACATTTGTAAAGGAGAGCCGACACAAGGTTGCAGGGGGTCTTTTATTCCTCCCTTCAGTCCCCCACTCGTCCCCAGCCCTTCTCAATCTCGTTCCCGCCAAGATTCCCCTTCTTCCCGCCCGTTCTCTCTCTCTTCTATCTCCTCGCTCGCTCCTCCCCCTTCCCCTGTCACCGTTCCACTCCCCCACCTTTTGGTGGGAATCCTTCACCTGACATCCCTTACGCATTAAACGGAGCTGCTCACAGGTTAATAACGCACGTGTATTGGAACATTGTTGCCGACAATATTACAGTGAGTATGCTAATTGCCCTGATGGCTTTTTCTTGTTGTTGTTGTCGTGTTTTTTTTGTTTTTTTTTTGCCACTAGGGTCGATCAAATTCTCGGCAAGGACACCTTGTCCAGCGTGGAGCGGCAGAAGGCGAAGGAGAGGGGCCAGCCCAGGTCAGAGGTCAGAGAGGACCAGAGCCTCATGGGAAGGGTGGTCAAGATGGACAAACAGGTGTGTTTAACGCGAATCGGCTACAGAGATGCAGACTACTCGTGCAATAGAGTCATGCGTGCACGCGTTAGTGTGTCTGTGTACGCCTCGTTGTGTACACATGCGTGTCTGCGTGCATGTGTCTGTGCAACTGTGTATCTGTGCGTACGTGTGTACATGTATGTGCGTGTTTGTATGTATGTGTACGCTTGCGTGTGTCGACTCGGCCTCAGATGAGTCACCTGGTGCGATGGGTAAACACCCCTCCACGAGGGAGACAGAGGCAGTCCGGCCTTCACAGGTGCTCGCTAACAGCACTTGCCCCAACAGTCTGTTCAGGCTATAGAGGGATCTTTGTCTTTGTTTTTTGTGTGTGTGTGTATGTTGTGCGGAGCGCGAGTGTAGTAGTTAGCGCACTATATCTGTGACGATTATCTCAACTGGTCCTGGGCCTCCCCTCGGTCAACTCAGCCTTAAATGAGTATCTGGTACGATGTGTAAACATCAACACTGGGGATATTTAGACAGCCAAGACGTTGTGCTGGCCACCCATCCCCTCGTGTGCCGTGTTGGCCTTCTCAAGTTTCAAGTTTAATTTATTAGGTATAGCCCTGTGAGCCATGCGGCTCTTAAGTCGGGTGCAACCGCAACAAATTAAATATGAACACAGAGAACATCTTAAAGCGACGACGCGCAACAGAAACATTCTGGGATAAACCAGCAAATTTTCCAGAAAAAAAAAACATCACCGTATTACAACGCTGTGTGCAAAAATCCCAGTGTGATGCAAGTCAAACAATAGCAACCATAGGTGCTCGCTAACAGCACTTGCCCCAACAGTCTGCCGAGGCTATGCGGAGGGGGGGGGGGGGTGAATTTTTGTCTTCTTATGTAAGCAGACAATAACAAGTACTGCTATTTTATTTTCCGATTTAAACATCGTGAGAATTTTTATTATGTTTTTTTATTTTTTTTATTGTATTATTTCCCTTCCACGTGACTACCGAAAGAACCAAGAGTACTGCTATTTTAGTGCACACGTAGCGGCATCGTTGAACGTTGTGTGGAACTGCCGCTACTTATGGCCTGTAGTAACGACCTTGAGCCAACAGGGGGCAGAAGGGAGGCCGATGGTTTTGTACCCACACCACACACACACAAACGACAGGAGGTACAAACACATTCCTGCGGCGGGAGCTGGTAGGAACGTTGGGTTGCTCGGTCAATGGCCAGGGTCAACGGCACGTGTTGTATTCCACGAATATGCCCGACTGTGAGGGCGGGCACAAGCCGGCGTGAGTAGGTTAAACGTTGAGTTTTATAAGGGCACCACGGGGTGACCAGCCCGTTCCCACCTAGCCCCTCCCCACCCTCCCCTCCCCACCCAGCCCCTCCCCACCCAGCCCCTCCCCACCCAGCCCCTCCCCACCCTACCCTCTCCACCCAGCCCCACCCCTCATATTTTTTAATGCACGATGGACGGACACAATAATCCCCTGTGGGCTGGTGTAACCAGGAGGTTCCTACCAGTAACAATGCTCATGCATAGTGCACGTTGATTACCACGTGAATAACCCAACCGGTGATGGATACCCATTGTCGTTTATACGGATTCATTGATCCCCCCCCCCATCGCACAAGAAGGGCTCACAAGTGACGTCATCACATCTACGCCTCTATTTAAGGAACGAAGCCGGAGGATTTCTTCACAAATCTGGCTGCCGCCCGATGATGCCGGTTGTAATTACTGGCGAAACGTCGTACTCATATTGCAAATGTTGTGGATTTTCTCTCCAACACACCGGTGGTGCTGTACTAGTAACGAATTGGCCACGTTCTGTTTACATAACAAACCTTACTAGTTGGCTGTGTCGGGTGGTGGTGGGTTTAACGACACATTTATATATTTACGCGATCTAACCCAACGAAACCTCGAGTATGAATCTTTGTCTTGGTTTGCACTCGCGCGAATCGTTTCGCTCCGCAGGTGCAGACGATCGAGAAGAAGCTGGACTTCTTAATCGACTTCTACCGCCAGTCCCTGGGCAAGGGGCCGCCCAAGATGCCCACGGCCATGAGCCAGTCGAACACGGAGAACAACACGGACTACGAGACGCCGGACGACCAGACGTCCTCGCTCGAGATCACCGAGACCACGTGCGTGGCCACGTCGCCGTCCATCAACGGCAACCACCTGAGCCAGGGCCTCTCCGAAGACAACGACCTCGTGCCGTCCCCGCGCGGCAGCCCTCCCGCCTCCGCCAACGTCGCCGCCGAGTGGCTCCAGGTTCCCGACCAGAAGGAGGAGCCGGCCATCAGCTGGAGCTCGCCGAAGTCCCACCTGACCCTCCCGGTGCCTTCGTTCATGTCGCCCACGGACCAGAACATCACCATCGTCATCAGCCCGTCCACGTCGGACGACGTCCCGGCCGCGTGCGACGGTTCCCCCCCCGCTCCTCCTCCCGCTCCGCTCGCGCCGGTCTGCCGCGGCGAGCTCTCCAAGGTGTTCGGCGCTCGCTGCGGCAACGGCAACGCGGTGGGGGGGCCGATCTTCGCGGCGGCGGCGGCGGCCGGCCTGGGCGGAGCGCCGTGGTCCGACAGCATCCTGAGCGTGGAGGACTTGCCGTCGCTCCACACCGTCAAGGAGATGGACGAGCAGCTGGCGGCTGACGATCTGTCCGGCGAGAGCCTGCAGAGAGTCGGCGACGCCGCCGCCGCTGCCGCCGAGCCGTCGCACATGACTTTGTTGCCGCTCGGGCCGCGATCGTCCGCTGAGATGGAGTTTGGCGGCTCGGCCAGGGGCTTGCCACAGCAGCAGCAGCAGCACTTACAGCGCATCACCGATAAGCCGGACTTAATATCACTTCCGTAAAAAAAAAATTACGCAACAAGCGTTTTTTTAACCCCCCCACTCCGTCCCCCTTCCCTCCGTGTAATTCTCACTGTTGTTACCGCAAAACGATATTTTAAAGATTTGGACCGCATCAAACGAATGCGTTGCGTACTCGACCGTAATAATGTGAGTAGCTGAAAAGATACGATTTATTAACCCATACTGGGGCTTTTGCGAATGCAGTTTTTTTTGCTGCAGGTAGTGAAGTGGGGGGGGGGGGGGGGCTGCGGTGAGTGGGAGAGAGAAAATTGGGCCACGCCACCCCCCCACCCTCATCGACCATCCGCCAAGATTCGGTGGCTGCCCCGGTTGTATGTGGGCGTCTCTGAAGCAGCGTCCGTTCATTCCTCCCGACGATTGTTCACAGGCGACGTTGACCGCACCCCGGACTCACCACCTCGACTGTCTGTAACCCTTACCCCCTCCCCCCTGAATTGTATAAATAGTGGAATGGACCAATAGTCGACCAATGTTAATCATAGCCGTTGAAATGTTTACAAGACTTCTTTCATTTTAAGTCCTGAGCATGCTATTACCTATAATGTGCAATTACCTTTAATAATAACCAAATCTGTGCTGGTGCATTTCGCAGCTATATAAATGCAGTGTGTAGACTTTTACGAGCGTACTCACACAGGAACGTTTTTTTAAATGTCAATTTGTAGTTTTAGCTTTCATTTTTATCTCTCCCATTTGCCTCCCCAGTGTCATAAAACTAACGCTGTTAAGAGCTGAGTTGCACACATTTTTTCGAGTTGGGGCGCCGAGGTGGCGAGATGTTAACTCCCTCGCCTGGTATGTAGGAGGTCGTGGGTTTTGATCCCGACCCTGACGCCTGTATATTTGGAGTTTGCGTGTTTCTCTTCCCGTGGTCACATGGATTTTTCTCCGGGTACTCTGGTTTTTCCCCTCCACGTCTAGAAGCATGTATTTAGAGTATTTGGCTGCTATACATTTCCAGACGATGAGCCACTTCGTTGAGCTATCATTTGTGGCCAGGTCACTTCTGAAAAAGAGCTACATATAGCTTAGTGGGCCTGACCTGGTAAAATACAAATAGTTTATAGTTTAAGTACTTGTTTACAGGGCTGGGTAATCTCAAACCGCCAATGCGAGAGTGGAGGGCCATCGATCGAGCCCCCGGAGTCTGCGAGGGCCCGCCGTGACAGAGGGATGGTGGGCCTTCGGTGGCCTCGTTTGGCCATGGTGGGGGAAAAGCCAATTTCCCCGGCTCCATCTCCCCGTACGTTCCTGTGGATGTTTTGGGGCCAGACCCTGCGCTCTCGAGATTGCTGCGCCCATTCCCGCTTCGTAGCAGATGTTGAAGGTCCCGTGACGTTATTCGTTAAGAAGAGTGGGCGCCACGCGTGTGCCGGTGTCACGGTCCAAATTTGGCCAATTTGAAAATTACAAATTCCATAATTTGATATAAAGTCACAAAGCAACCTACTGTGAAACTACTGTGCGCCGTGATAGTCTGTGAAACTTTAGCGCCTTCGTGATAATCTTGCGCTTGACGAATATTTCAAATGCCAAATGTACGGTTTGATTTTACATGTTTGTTGTCAATTTAAAGTTCCCTCTTTTTTTCAGACTTCCTCTCAACTGCCAAACAATTTTGCCATTGACATCTCGTCTTGCGGTGAATGGACTATTCGGGGCCCACCCTCTGTGTTTGAGAACGACCCAGTGACACGAGATGTCGTAAAAACCATTGACTCACTCTCCCAGTGACCTGCTCTCTCCACAATAGGGGCCACACGAATCCTAAAGACAAATGTTCATCCCACGGCAGAAAAACTGATCTTCTTAATTACCAGAGCCGGAATTTTAGCCAGTAAGTAAAATGAAAAAAAAAACACTATATACTTTTTTCTGCAATCGTTGGTGACCAGGCTGAGACCACCAGCGTATCACACTAATCACGGGTGACTGAAGCCCGGATTCAAACCCAAGACCTCAACAGTGTCGGCTTAGGACTGTGACCGCTGAACCCCCTGACCCGCCTCACCCTTGAGTGTGGCTTAGCAGCTTGCTGGGGATGTTGCTCGACTAGCATGCAAAGTGAGGCAATGGCAGAAGCGGACCTTTCCATGGGGGGCCGGGAGCGCGGAGGGAGGCAGGGTGTGGGGGGGGGGGGCTACCCCAGAGCCGTCCTAGGGTACGGGGAATCGGGACGACTGTCCCGGGCCCCGCGCTTTGGGGGGGGGGGGGGCTGGTGGGGTGTCGGGTGGTGGCCCACAGATGGGTTTGCCCCGAGGATGTTCCTTCCCTCCATAAACACATGCCAATGTGTTGTCTCCAGGGCAAAGGTGAATGACAGCACTCAGTTTCCCCATTTTTTCTGGCAACAAAACAGGTGCTGAGATTTCGATTTAAAGCTTTCGCGACTGCAGGGATTCATATTCTTGGTTCTTTCGGTAAAGTCATGTAGAAGGGAAATAATAAAATAATACAAATAAAACAATAGAATTCATCAGGTGTGAAAACCACCTGATGATGATTGCTTGTGTTGCAACCGAAACGTCGTGATAATTTAATTGTTGAATTTGTATTATTTTATTATTTCCCTTCTACGTGACTTTACCGAAAGAACCAAGAATATGTGTTGAGATGTTAAAACACCAAACTGAAACTTTTTACAAGGAATCATGTCCGCATTAACCACAATACTTGTGGTCAGTATGCAAACAAAAACATACTCTGATAATATATGCATTGTGTTTGAAACTGATTGGTCCACACCAGAGACAGCTTTCTTTAGAGCCTAGTCTCAAAACGGTGTTAGACCAGAGGACGCCAAAAGGCGTGAAAAAAAGGGGAAAACTTACTCTCATATTTGTTACTGGCAAAGGAGGTCCCATGATGACATAGCATTCCTTGGGGGAGGGGGGGGGGTGGTGGGGGGGTCTGAAATGGTGGAGGTGATCCCCCCCCCCCTTTGTATCCAACGCGGCGTGATGGATTTTTTTGGTGGTCCGACTTTCGTCCGTGACGTCGGGGTCAGTGCCGCCTCGCAAAGAGGGCGGCCTCTGGCAGCGTGCGATACAGATGACGACGATGACGACGATGATGACGACGATGATGACGATGATGACGTCTGTGCCATTCCTTGTAATCCATTCATAAGAGCGAAGCAATAGATCTGTCGAAATCATTCTGCGTGCAATGTGTGTGATGCGGTGGGGTGGGGGGATGGAAAACAGTAACAAACCGGTGTGCACCGCTTTTATAGCTCTCACCGCCGCTCTCGAATACCAGAAGATGTTTTTGTTCCGAATCAGGGTGGGATCATCAACGTGTCGTAGGTTTTGAGGCTGCACAAATATTTGGGGGGAAATTCCCGGACGATAATGATTGTCCCCCCCTCCCCGTCCTCCTCATTACGTTATTTTGTACACCCGCCAAAAAAACAACCGGTAAAAGTGCCACATCAATCATGCGTTGGTATTTTTTTCAAAAAAATATAATTTGCCTTTCCTTTCTCTGCATCATCATCATCTCATCACCGCCGTACATTTCTCCTTACACATAAAGCTGCCGCCATGTGGCACGTTACTTTGTCCGAGCAGCGTGTGTTGCATTTCAATTTATTTAGTTTTTGCTCTTGGAGTCTCTTACGCAGCAACTCTTGAGAGGATCCTTCCGCCGTGTTGTGGCCAAGTTGGCAGAGACGATCACAGCCGCAGTCGAGGCGTAGAGTTGGGGGTATGGCACTGCTGCTGCTTCTGCATAATTGCCCCAATAACACCAAGGCCGATGATTTGCGGTGTCCCTTTAGTTGCAATCAGCGCCGTTATTCTGACTTTCTTTGACAGCTGCTGCGTTAGCCCACGGAGCATACTACAAGAGACGATCTAAAATATATATTCATATATATAAACATCGCATCAGCTAATGTTGTCAATTAGCTTATTCACAAGGCCTTAACGAGTAGCAGAAATACACGGGTTGGATCTGACATAGTTTGAACACATTCCCATTTGTCTAATTATTTTATGCTCTTCACTTGCACACCAACGAAACAGATTGCCATGAACTTTTTTGAGCCAATATCCCAAATGAAGGCTGGATATGAATATACATGAGCTGAAGACAATTAACCTTTAGCCAAAAAAAAGGAAATTTATTCTCCAACATAGAAAACTGAGATAACCCAATGTCGTCGCTTCACAGTGTCTAGCCGTACACGTTTTTTTAGCGAATGTAGTAATTATGTTATAACGGCATTTCGTCTGCCTCTGTAATGGGAGTAGGAGCCGTTTTCCTTGATTAAACTCACTTCATCTGTGTCTACAATTAGAAGGAACCCGTCAAAGCCACGTATTGCCAAATAAGAGAAAAGTTTCTCACGGAGAGCCCTCGCAAATTTGAAGCCACCGCATCATTTCAATCGGCCAATTTGAATTGTATCGTGACATAAAAAAGTGCCGATTCCTTGAGTAATAAAATAGATTATATTGTCAATCCACCGCTGGATGGTTCTTTGACCCATTCTTCCCGAGATGCCAAGGGGAACCCGATTAAGCGTTTGAAATAATCACTCACCGGTGATGGATTTGCAAAGCTCCCCTTACATTACCCAAAAAAAACATAATTAGGCCAGTCCAAACTGCACCAAAAACTCAGTCAATGATGAAGGAAGCTTCACCTTTTCAAAGCAATTTCAAAGCGCCTGGCCCAGTGAGCTCTGGCGCAACCTTCGGGGAAACAAGAAATCAAAGGCCCCTTTAATTGATCCTCTTCGTGACTGATGTTTCCACGGCCAGGTTTGTTTAGGGTCAGACATAAGACTTGCTGACATATCGACGCATTAGACATCGACTCTCTTTAACAATGACTATTATTTACAGCCAAAGGCAATACAATCCCTCCCTCCACCCTATTAAAACCCATCCCACTACCCTGACCAAAAGCCTCAAACTCAGTCTCCAGAAGATGGTTCAAGAACAAAAATTAGCCCTGGCTGGACGATGCCAATTTCACATTAAAAACACCCCAGGAATGCGCTCCCGCATCTTATCCGGTCACGGAAGCTAAGCAGGGCTTTGAGCCTGGCAAGTGCTTGGAAGGGTGAACACCACCGTGCACTGATAGGGTTGCTATAGGCGTCCGCTGCGCTAAGTCGTTGGGCAGCTGACGATCGTGCAGGAAGATCCATAGCTGTTCTGTACTTCTATGCTCCCGTGCCCCCCACCCCCGCCATCTCTTTGTGGGTCATGCCTTCACCAATCTGAACTGACCAGCATGCTGAAGTATGGTTACATTTAAATTACCCACTACAAGCACGCGTGACAAAATGTGTTTTTTTGTACGTAAAAATAAGTTAACTGTCGTTTGCATATTCTTAGTCGTTTGCATGTAAAGCAAGAAAAGCATTTAACAAAACGTATTGGGGTCCATCAGGCATGTAACAACTCTGGTGGGGGTGGGGGCATGACACAGACAATGGTAAACAAACTTGAAACAAATCTGAAACTCTGGAAGCCGCCTGATGATGCTAGTTGTAATTACTGCCGAAACGCCGTACTCAGATTGTAAATGTTGTGGCTTTGCTCGGCAACACACCGGTGTGCTGTACGAGTAACGAATTGGCCACGTTCTGTTTACGTGACAAACCTTACTAATTGGCTGTGTCAGGTGGTGGCGGGTTTAACGACACATTTTTATATTTACGAAATCTAACCCCCCCCCCCAAAAAAATATATTATGAAATCTGAAACTTTAAACAAGATTAATTATGATCGGACCTGCTTTGGTCTGCTCTGTCACCCCCCTGTACAAAGAGAAAATCGTTTGCGATGCCCATCGCTGGAATGTCCTCATGCATACTCATTTTGACCGTGAGACGTATGTATGTATGTGTGTATGTTGGACTTTCTTCGC